TTTCTAATTGAGTTTGTGGGTTTCATTGCTAGCCACTTTTATTCCTGCCTTGTTAGGAATTCTGAGTGAGGTTTCCGAGGTTCCTTCCTTGCATGGAAGTACTACTGATGATTTAGATTACTTATTGTTGGTGTTGTCATTATCCTGTGCATGTTTGATATGCATGTTGTCATTAATATCCCTACCATTATTATTATTATTATTAATATTATTGTTATTATTATTATCACTATCGCTATCACTGCTAGTATTATTAATTTCATTTTCACGTTTTCCCACATACTTCCTGATTAATTGATCTGGGTAATTAGTAAGTTTCAAAGCTTCTCTTATACGTCTCACTTCCTGTCTTAGATTTTCCTTGCTTCTGCTGAGTTTTTGTGCTCTACTACTTAAACACTTCAATAATCCTATTGTCGTTGACATAAGGTGGAATGATCGGATTTTCGAAATTTCGGTTTAAATGTGTGGGTTTCCCGTAAACACTTGTGTTTAACTTCCCATCTGCTTTCTATTTTACGCCACAATCTAGCATTGCAAGCTCCCCTCCACGACTTTCCAATTCATAAGTGAATTGAATTGCCTCCACCTTTAGGTTAATGTATTCGAAAAATCTATCTATATCCTGTGTTCAAAGTACAGTGAATGTGTTATCTACATACCTCCACCATACTTTAGGGATGGGGCTGAATGTTTCAATCACTATGGCTTCTCACCTATCCATGAATATATCTGCCAAATGCGGTGATAATAGTGACCACATGGCAACATCCTCAGTTTGTTTGCATATTTTACCCTGGAATTTACATATTGTGGAAGTCAGGCAAAGTTGCACTCACAGCATCATATGTCCTCATATGACACTTTCGTTCTAATTTCGAGTTCTTCATCAGAAATGAGTTCGTTTCTGACTGCCTCTATAGCCATATTTATTGGTATACGTGTACATAAACTGACAAAGTCAAAACTAACCATTTTTCCTTCGTCATCTAATTTTCAATTCCCTACTCCATGTTTTAGTTCACAAGAATTTGTTAGTCTGGATTTTGTGTAGCATCACGTACTACTACAGTGACCAAGCTTTACACAAATATTAAAATAAAATCTTCTCCATAATCAAGTTGATGTGATGGTTGCTGGTGACTGGCTACAAGACGAAGTTGTGGTGAGAATTCCTGACGGTGGGATCCATCCATTGACGAGTGACGATCGAGTTCCCACAGATTACATGCATTGGTGGTCGCGAAAACTCATCACGAATTGGAAGAAGTTGGAACCCAATTTCTATTGCAACAGTTCATAGTGGCTGAATGGTATACGAGTTCTCTGGCCTTGTTACCGGAAGTACAGGGTGACTCAGAATCATTGCGTAAAATACAACCAATCCCGTGGCACGATGGCTAGTAAGTACTTTACAATCTGGGAGAAAGCTAAGCGCCAAACACTCATTAAAGAGGATACGTTTCAATTCGTGGATCCAATAAGTCAAATCAATGTATCTGGCTTAACTGTGGCTCCGTTGGATTGGGCCCTTTCACTATTCACTAACGTCTCCTCAACCGAAGCTGTATGCCACCTATGTGAGTTGATTGATTCAAACTATGTAAACTATGTTTGTGTACCAACGAAGCACATCAAGTAATTAATCCTGAGACGCACACTAAATGTTCAGTTCTGAATATCTGGGAAATGTTATTAAAGACTTGATAGAATCGATGATTCCTGAGTACTGCGTTGACATTTGGTTGTCTCAAGCACTTATTGGAGTCGGATAATCACCACTCCTGCAGAAACTTCAAGCCATTAGAGCATTAGTGAAGCACTATGTTCCACTAGGAACGTGAACGTAAAAAAACTTCTGCTCGGCATAAGTCTCTCTGTAGCTTTATCTACTATAAACCACAGCTGAATAATATGAAGGGTTTCATGAGTGCGTTCTACCCAGGATGCACATAGAAACGTATTAGATAATACGAAATTACGTAAGAGTTCTAGATGAATAGAAGAATTATAAGCAATTAAGGAACAGACATCAATATATAAATGTCACAAAGCTTTGGTAAATAATCAATGTAATAATGTGAATGTGTTGATGACTGAGTTTTATTCAGGATGCACATAGAAGCAAGGTGGATTGTACGAAATTTCGTAAGAGTTCTAAATGAATAGGAGAATTATAAGCAACTAAAGAACAGACAAAGAAAGAAAATTAACTCACCAAAACCAAAACAATTGACATCAAATCAAAAATGTTGTTACGGTGAGAGTTGAAATGGTTGAGTAATCTTCGTTTGTATGAACAACTCCAGTTTGTCTATGTGAATGTGATTTGATTTCAGTTTGTTTGATTGTGATGAATTAATTTTCTTTCTTTGCCTGATCTTTATTTGCTTATGATTCTTGCATTCATTTAGAAATCTTACGTAATTTCGTACAATGTACTATGTATCGATGTGCATCCTGAGTAAAACTCACTCATCACACCATTCATATTATTATTACATAACTTCTTTTAACAACTGTTTGTGACAACTCATCACTTCTGTTACTACCCTAATTTCATTAACACCTAATTTTATTGACTGATTTTGTATTACCAATCCTCACCTGTTCAGTTAAAATAACCATAACCGATTATCTATATTTTGTTTGACAAACTTAATGTACACATACATAGAAAATAACACACAAATATATTTGCAATTGTACAGACAGCTGAGAAAATGAATTCGCCGGCGAAAACAGACTCTTCGCTGATCTAGGTGTTTTGTTTTTTTAATTTGTCTTTGTTTCAAGCTGAACGGGCGATTTAGGAGCTAGAGGATAAATCAGACTCATAATTTGCATTTCGGTGAGCGATTCGCTGTTTAGATGTTTAGGTTACCTCGACCTGACTAACCAGCACTACTGGTTGATATGATTGGTATAAAACTACTCATTTCATTATGGTTGGCTTTACTCTCAAATAGTCTTGATGCCTTGTTGAATTTCCCATATTTGGTGCAATATTTCATCTAATTTAGTCAACAGTCAGGGAAACCAGACTTATTACTGGCTTATCGAGGTATTTTCAGGTGTGAGTCGGCCGATAATCGACCCCCGGGACACCTGTGTGGTCGATGATCACCGTAATACTGTGCCACCAACTCACTCAATAAATCTGAATGTAAAGCAATCGACTGTCGATTAGACTAAGCAAAATGATAGTTAAATAAAGCCGAAATAACAGTAATCCTGATTAGACAAGCTTTACCATAGTAGGTGTTCATTCCACAGTATTTGACGAGGATTAAGCAAAAGGTCAATGGATATCATTCTATAATGCAGAGCACCCACAAAATAGATTGAACTGCATATGAAAAGCTAAATTAGCAAATTGTAAGACTTTGTTGTGTAATCTTATGCAAACCAAATTGTGAATTGACAAATAGCATCTACGAATGGTTACTGCACAGAGATTTGGGAAAAACTATGGAGTTTATCAAAGGAAATGAATCAAGACCACCCACGAAACTGCTGATGACAGGTCGTGAAAATAAGCTGAAGGTCATACTGCATATATGAACACGCAGAAAATCTGAAAAAAAAAAAAAAACTGCGAACAAAGCATTTCTCAATGAATAAACATACTGGGGAATGCAGTTTTAGCAACTAGACCATTCAGCTGAGAGAAGACAACATAAATATAGAGATCAAGTTTAATCAACTAGCTAAATTAATCGCTAGTCTCTTCACGGATGCTTCAAATATTATAAGTTGCGTACTTCCGATTATTCCCAAACTAGGATGAAACAGCAGCTGTCCAGTACTCCCTGGTTTTCAATGGTTCTCTAACTGATATCAATCCGTGATCAACTCGTAAACATTTCTTAATTGATTATAATAATAACAATTTGTAACAATAAGGAATTCATGCTCTTCAATGAATGAAAGACGAAACTATGCGAATGTTTACTGCCATTATTCTTTTTTGTACTAATGGCATGTCCAGAGTGATATGAACGTGAGTTCAGAAAATCTCATTCCCAGTAAAGTCAACCGATTGATGTATATCACTGAATTCAATCAGAATTTCGTTGAAAACATTTATTTCCTGATACGAATTTAAAACAAGCAATAAAGGTTAATAAAGCAGGATTTAATGAATTCATCAAATTTCGGTAGAACTCGTCAGCTGTATACTCTACATACACGGATATATATACACTTTTGAAATTACATTGGGAGATATAAGACTGATAAGGAAACAAACTACATAGAATTAATCATGCAGAAAGACACGTGCAAATGTTTTCCAGATCATGTTCAAACAGATAAAGGAGAGAGAGTATGAGGGATCAAAATTAAGATGAATTGCATTACGCTTCAATTACATCACTTAAATAAACAATTAGTCATTAGAGAATATAACAAGAATTGCAAACAGACTAATATCAGTAGTAATAGTTATAATAACAGTAATAATAATAATAGTGTTGAAGTGGGTTGAAATAATCCAACTGATAAAGGATAGTTTCAAATGAATCAAGAATAATAATAATGATAACAATGATAGTAAGAAGAAGAGGTGATAAACGTATTACCATGGTATTACCTCTTCTTCTTACTATTATTGTTATTATTATTATCATTATTCTTGATTCATCTAAAACTATGCTTTATCAGTTGGATTATTTCAACCCACTTCAACACTATTATTATTATTATATTATTATAACTATTACCACTGATATTAGTCTGTTTGCAATTCTTGTTATATTCTCTAATGACTAATTGTTTATTTAAGTGATGTAATTGAAGCGTAATGCAATTTATCTTAATTTTGATCCCTCATACTCTCTCTCCTTTATCTGTTTGAACATGACCTGGAAAACATTCGCACCTGTCTTTCTTCATGACTAACTCAATGTAGTTTATGTGCTCATCAGTCTTATATCTCCCAATGTAATTTCAAAACTATATATATCCGTGTATGTAGAGTATTCAGCTGACAAGTTCTACAGAATTTCGTTCTTGACGGCTTTCACATCAAGAATAACAAGTGTGCCATCAACACTACGGAAATAAAAATCTATTTCATCTATTTATCACTTCAATGAGCCATTTTCAAGCTTACCTACCAATGAAGAAATCTTCCGAAATTCCAACTGACGGAGAATCCATGACAATACTGACGATGTGTTTGTGATAAACGATATTCAATGGGAAGTGTACATTCACACCGCATCTTATACACAGGTCCTTGTGAATAGTGATCATTAAATTTGTTTCTCACTATCATTTCCATCTGAGATGCAAATGTCGACATATGATGTGAGCCTGGTCTTAGAAGGACCCACCAATATTGCAGATGTCGGCTGCAAGATATATCGCAGTATTTTGTCATTGATATATACACTCAAAGGGAATATGTTAATTACAGCAATGCTCGAAAGACTGTTAGCTATTCAGTTCCCTGTGAAATTCGGTAAATTACCACCACGTCACGCCTGGTATTTCGTGGTCAGTACCGGCGTAACAGCTGTTCTCATGATTATACCAATTATTATCCAGTCTGACTGGGCCACATATTTCAACAGAATTGTATGCTACACACGCCCAACCTCTTTGTTTCTCGCATTTTATTACGGTCTATTTTCCGGAGCATGTTTTGTCCAAACTGCTATCAATGGAGTCCTGAATGCAGTATTATTACTGAAAATATATGTCTGGTTACGTTACAGACGTCGAATAGCAACATCGACACAAACTATGAAGTCGAATGAGTTAGGAGCATGTGTTGTACTGCTGATTATTTCAAGCACAACATTTCTTCTGTCTATCCCAGGTACTACGGTTACCTTTTTCGCAGTGTCAAGTTCACTGTCTATAGATCTGAATGGTGCTTCTACCAAGCTACGTCTTTTACTGAATTTAAGAGAGATATTTTTGATTGTCATCTATATGCGATCAATATTTAACACGATAATTTATATCTGGCGAATGGAACAATTGCGCGTGTTATTTTTGTGCATTGTTCAATGCAAGCAGTTCAGTAGATTTAAACGATCACACAAACCATCATCAAATGGTGTTCAACAATGAACAGTCTACCCAGACAATGTTCACATTTTCTCAGTTGACATGGAATTGACCAGGTGACCACAGGATATGCATGTGTATCTATCAAGTGGAAATATTCAAGTTTACCCAAATTGGGACGGAATGGATTTCTATGGACAGTGATATCACTAATCAGGTGGTGATATGTACCACTGACTACTCACTAAGTTACTCGTCCGCCCAATTTCTTCTCTAATTACTTGTCAACCACTTGACTGATCACTTCATTACTTGTTCAATTATACTTCTCATCATCTGTATATGAAATAGTAGCTGTTCATGTGGACTATTTTCTTCTCTGCTCTTATCCTCTTCATTTTCAAATGATGATTGATTTTTACCCGGTGGATACAATAGAATCAGTCTGTTTCCCTTCCATCATACCCCTCTCGCATATTCAGCCTTTCCTTCGTATTCATTCTCTGGGATATTTGTGCATAGTTTTCTATAACTGTAACTGCTACCCATCCATCATTCTTTACATACCTGTGTGAACAGGTAACTTCAAAATTGAAGACAATGCGATACACTCATTGTCACATCAATAGTTTCTCATCTCTTTACACATATTAGTGAAAGCAAGTGTGTACATGATTCTATGGCCGTCATTCGACACCATATTGGCTTCGTTTTCAATAACGAATAAATAACAGATTGTACCAAGATTATGTCTTTGTTCTATTGACTGTCTAATTCGGCGTAAATGTCAATGGAAATGGTCCAGGTGGTCTTCGTTAGTGACCATTTCCATTCTCTAAATGCCACATTCCATGCATTTTGTCATGAGCAAGGCATGACAAAGATTTCTTGAATGAGTAACCAAATATATATGTATACGTGTATGTGTATGTATATCGAGGATGTGTGGAATGATTTGACACTTCTAGCTGACTGATATTGACGAACTGAAATACTCAGTGACTGTAGACACGTCAGCTCGCTGTATGGAGACCTAGAGGATGCCTGAGAAATGACTTGATGCTGTTTCCGTGGTGGTCACTAGCAGTGGATTCTAGGAAGCGCTTTTCATCCCGTTTATGTCTTACCGCATTGGGGTGTCTCGTCATTAGTCGATGAGAATTTCGGTTCAGTGTAATCACTCACTTGCATACTCAAAATAATTTCATTAATTAGCGAGTTATGCGTGATGCACAGTGGGTGATTCTTGAGCTTCAGTCAGCTGAGGAGTTAATGATCCTGGTTTCGAGGCTGACTATGAACATTCATAATGACTATGACCCGACGAAATTCATCTTACTAGTCCCGGATATTTGGAGACTCTATTAATACTCTATATGTTCAGAAATAAGTATGATGTCTATTTGAAGTTTGTGTGTTATGACAACAGGGGTTACTTCACAAGCCATTTGTGCAACAATGGTAATGCGTACAATAATAGTGAACATACATAGATATATACTGTTTTACCAAAACTACTACGTAAGTAGGTATCTCTTGCTCTAGTTTACAGATGTTCATCAAATAATATCGTCTATGCCTATAGTCTGATTAATTAGAGTTAGAAAATAATGAAATTTTATTATTTAACTGATAATTATACTGCTAAAATTAAAATGTCAGACGAAAATAGTTATTACTGAAGTCCTAAGTGAGTATTACGCTATTCTGTAACGATGTGTGTGTGACAGGAAAACACATGAGAAGTTGCTTCGCTAAGTCTCCTAACATATTTGTTCTACGGAAATCGAACATGTTATCCCTTGTAGTATTAATGTATGGCTCAGTTGTATATGTCACATAACGTTCAGACAACAACCATATGGAATAAGAAAAAAAATAATAAGTTATTTCATGGTGATTCTTGATGTTGATCTCATATCTCTAATTTACGGTATTTTTAATTGGTTAGCTTCTACATGTCAGTGAGTATGTGACTGCTGAAGAAACACTGCCAGGGACCGCGATCATCAGTTCAGTAATGTTACTTCCTATTTCTGTTTCCCTGACTGTCGAATAAATTAGATAAAATAATGCACCAAATATGGGAAATTCAACAAGGCATCAAGACTATTTGAGAGTAAAGCCAACCATTATGAAATGAGTAGTTGTATACCAATCATATCAACCAGTAGTGCTTGTTAGTCAGGTCGAGGCAACCTAAACATCTAAACAGCGAATCGCTCACCGAAATGCAAATTATGAGTCTGATTTATCCTCTAGCTCCTAAATCGCCCGTTCTGCTTGAAACAAAGACGAATTAAAAAAACAAAACACGTAGATCAGCGAAGAGTCTGTTTTCGCCGGCGAATTCATTTTCTCAGCTGTCTGTACAATTGCAAATATATTTGTGTGTTATTTTCTATGTATGTGTACATTAAGTTTGTCAAACAAAATATAGACAATCGGTTATGGTTAGTTTAACTGAACAGGTGAGGATTGGTAATACAAAATCAGTCAATAAAATTAGGTGTTAATGAAATTAGGGTAGTAACAGAAGTGATGAGTTGTCACAAACAGTTGTTAAAAGAAGTTATGTAATAATAATATGAATGGTGTGATGAGTGAGTTTTACTCAGATTAATTTTCAAGTATTGGTTTTGTAGTGATTTTGTTTGATTGCATGGAGGATTTAATCGTGACCAGTAGGGTACAGCAGGTCGAAGATCAGACTGTAACTCATCGAAGAAGACATTGCGAAGTGGTCTCGATATGTCGTAAATTGGCAGAAGTTAGAGTTCAAGGACCATTGGATCGGGTCCCAGTGGCTCAATGGTCTACGCGCTCGCCTTGTAACCAGAAGGTCCTTGGTTCGAATGCAATTTAGCAGCTAGACCATTCAGCTGAGAGAAGACATCATAAATATAGAGACCAAATTGAAATAACTAGCTAAATTAATTGCTAGTCTCTTCACGGATGCTTCAAATCTTATAAGCTTTGTTTCAAGGTTTATGTATACGGACAGTCTTCCACATCATCTGTGTCGAATACCAAAACAACACATACCAATACGGTGTTATTCATAACTTCTGATATGGTAGAACATCCTTACATACCTGGATGAGTGATACATAAGAACGGATTTAGCAGGTTGTCAGGGGAAATCGTTTTCTAGTTCAAAACCAACTGATGCCAAATATACGAACTATTATGCCTCGATTACAACGATCGAGTTCCTCAGTTAATTTTCTCATCATTCCAGATTAATTCGTGCTGAAATTAGTCATAAATTCACTTTTGTGTCAAGTGAAATTCCCTTTCTCATAGTCATTAAAAACCCTCATATGCTACCCTGAACTAACGACTATATTTACGATATTTATCTGATTTCTCATAGAGCTTGAAGGAAGGCCATTTTTTCGAGCAAGAACTTCGTAAATTGTATCGTAAGAATTGTTTATTCCTAATGATTCTCCTCAGCTTTCGGTACAATAAGTTTCAATCTTTATTAACATCAGCCAACCAAATCTCCTCCTCACCGAAATTGAATACAGTGTAAAACTTGCTCATGAACACATCGCCAAGAATCCAATATCCAGGAGCTAGTCCATTACTACCATCGAAATGGTGATGTACAGTCTGTATTTAGCCAGTTGACTTGCTGAAATCTCAAATTAAAATGAACTTTCAACACTTTTGTTGATTCAAAACTTCGAAAAGAAAATTGGGAACAGTGTTAGTAGATGTCACATCATCCTTCAACTTCAGTTAAATCCTGTTGCTTAGAATACAAACAGCATGCAGTCGATACGAATATGTTGATTAGAAATGTAACTCACTACATATTTTACAGATAAGTAGACAAATATAAAGTGGTGGAAAACGATGATCATCTGAAATCCGCATCGCAAGTTGATGTTCATGACCTGATGAAAGGTACAATTCAAAGGATGTGACACACTCCAACTACTAGACGCAATCTGCTGTCTGCTGTCGGATTACAGTCAGTTGCTCTCGCACGAGCTCTAGCTGCTTAAGTAATTGTCATCTTTCCACAATTCTTATCTTAAAATATATCTTGTATTCTGAAATATTAATTTGTTCCATTATTTTAACTTAATGAAAACAGAACACACAGATCAGCGAAGAGTCTTTTTTCGATGGCGAATTCATTTTCTCAGCTGTCTGTACAATTGCAAATATATTTGTGTGTTATTTTCTATGTATGTGTACATTAAGTTTGTCAAACAAAATATAGACAATCGGTTATGGTTAGTTTAACTGAACAGGTGAGGATTGGTAATACAAAATCAGTCAAGAAAATTAGGTGTTAATGAAATTAGGGTAGTAACAGAAGTGATGAGTTGTCACAAACAGTTGTTAAAAGAAGTTATGTTATAATAATATGAATGGTGTGATGAGTGAGTTTTACTCAGGATGCACATAGAAGCAAGGTAGATTGTACGAAATTACGTAAGAGTTCTAAATGAATAGAAGAATTATAAGTAACTAATGAACAGACAAGTGAACTCAATGAGGTCATCAAAATCAAGAATTTCTAGTCAAATCACAATCACATAGAAAACCCGGAGGTGTGCATAACAAAGAAGATTACTCAACCACTTATTCTCTCATGTTAAGGACTTTTTTGTTATGATTTCAGTTTGTTTGATTGTGATGAATTAATTTTCTTCCTTTACCTGATCTTTATTTGCTTATGATTCTTCTATTCATCTAGAACTCTTACGTAATTTCGTACAATCTACATTGTTTCTATGTGCATCCTGAGTAAAACTCACTCATCACACCATTCATATTATTATAACATAACTTCTTTTAACAACTGTTTGTGACAACTCATCACTTCTGTTACTACCCTAATTTCATTAACACCTAATTTTATTGACTGATTTTGTATTACCAATCCTCACCTGTTCAGTTAAACTAACCATAACCGATTGTCTATATTTTGTTTGACAAACTTAATGTACACATACATAGAAAATAACACACAAATATATTTGCAATTGTACAGACAGCTGAGAAAATGAATTCGCCATCGAAAACAGACTCTTCGCTGGCCTGCGTGTTTTGATGCATTCAATTAAAATAATTAAACAAATTTATCTTTCAGATTACGAGATATATTTTAGGATAAGAAGTGTCGAAAACCAATTACCCCAGTTATCATGTTCAATGAGGTTATTTGCTTCTCCTCAATCAGTTTCAGTCTGTTGACCTACTTTTGGCTCTGATCGAAACTTCTTGCAATTCCAGTTAATACTAGCCCTCATTAAATGATCCTTGTCTGCTGTGAAGCTGTCGCTGTTTAATATGATATCATTAACGGGTGAAATGAACGGGTGGACTTGAACATGGGTATAATAACACTAACTCAATGGACAACTTAACTGTTTTGCTAAATACACCTATTCGTCCCTGGTACTTTCCACTTCACTTAGCCACGTAAGTATCAAAAGATAAAGAATGGTCTTTGATTGTTAGGATATAACCTATTCTTAAGGAAATTGACATCATGTAGAAAGTATAATGCTCTGATTAGCAGACGATTTGATCAAGTCCATGGCTATCACCCTCGGACCAAAATAAGGAAAGAATGAAATTCTGCAGTCATCGGATTGCAAGACGATCATTAATTTCAGCCACTTCCTATCATCGTCCTATGTCACTTGGATGAAACAACAAGGTATACCTGCAG